GAGAGAGAGAGAGAGAGAGAGAGAGAGAGAGAGAGAGAGATATTCGTGAACATGGATTATCTGAGGAATGTTCAAGGCTCAGCAGTCACTGGGCTCCGTCCTATCGGAGATGGAAGTTAGTTGTAAGGCTCCACCTCTCAATAACGTAATTGTATTGAATTGAAAGTGACACCAAAGTAGTACTTATAACCACGTTATAATTTGGAAGATAAAATTTTGGCCAAAGGCAGTACAGTACAGTACAGTACTATCCATGGCAAGAACAAAAATAGCTGTCGCGCAAGGGAAATAACGTACAAAGTCTAAAAGAGGGTAAACCAGAAGTAGTGACAGCACTACCCGCAAGAGTGTTAAAGCAAGGTCCAGGGGGCCGTGTCGCACTTTCCTTCACTTGCAATTCTATGTTGGATAAATACTTTATTTTGTGAATGGTCACTGGCTCAGGCATTAAAACAATGCAAAAAATCTGTTCCAAACGATTCTGCAAATATAACTGTAATCTGATCTACAGCTCTCATTTATTAATATTTTCCTCACTGTGCCCAACAGGCTCCGAACTCTGGCTTTCTGCTGAAAAATACATTGTTCTTTGGCAGAAGTAATCAAAGATTCTCACCGTTTTTATTCGTATCTCTTGCAACACGTAATGCATTATACGGCATTTGAATTTGTTGTGTTTATATTTGAACGGAAAAAACTATATAATCATGAGAGTGATTGGGAGTGCATGTATTAAGGCGACCAGTGTGTCCCTGGTCATATTAGTCAAAGTAATCGTTGCCCTCAAAATCACGTGAGTGCTCACTCTCATCCCTTTGGCCTAAATGGAGAAACGACAAAACAAAGTTATCGAAATTAATGCTTATGGGATTCCGACAATTCTTTTAAAAATCTGCTTTGGACATACGACAACTGGGTTCTGGGTATCTCAATAAACACTGTACTTAGAGTCTTGAAACTTATTGGAGATACAACACATGGGAATTTGAGTGCATGAGTGAGCTTATCTTGGATTTCATTAAAAGTGGATATACGACAATTGCACTCTGGGCCGACGACCCAGCAAATCCAAATATACAAATGACGTCATAAAAAGTCCCAATACAACAATA